CGCTTCCCGCGGGGCCTCAGCCCACCCGGGCGCCTCCAGAGCCGCCGCGATGACCTGGCCCCCGGCCCGGGCCTGGCGCCCTCGGCCACCCTGGTGTCGCTCTCATCCGTGTCCGACTGCAACTCCACGCGTTCGCTGCTGCGCTCCGACAGCGACGAGGCCGGGCCGGCTGCGCCCTCCCCGCCCTCGCCCTCTCCCTCGCCTTTGCCCTCGCCCTCGGCCTCACCCGGCACCAACCCCCTGGTGGACCTGGAGCTGGAGAGCTTCAAGAAGGACCCCCGCCAGTCGCTCACGCCCACCCACGTCACGGCCGCGCGCGCTGTGAGCCGAGGACATCGGCGGACGCCGTCGGACGGGGCGCTGGGGCAGCGGGGGCCTCCGGAGCCCGCGGGCCACGGCCCTGGTGAGTGAGGGAACGAGCGCTGCACACCCGGGGCGCAGAAACCCGCCCTTCCACCCGAGCCCTGTGCCGGCTCAGCCCCCGGCCTAGCAAGGCGGGGGACAGCTGCGTGCCGAGGCCGTTACTGCGGACGGGTGTGGGGCCCGCGTGACCGAGGCGCAAGGTGAGTTAGGGGTGGCAAAGTAATGCCTGCCAGCGCCTGGCAGATAGCTAGGACCACGGCCGACTCTGCCCAGCCCTGTGTTCTGTACTCCAGCGACCCCAAAAGCGGTGATGAGGGTAGGATTTGAGAACTCACCACCCAGGCACTGTGCGCTTGTTTGAGTTACTGTTTGGTTCAGCCTATGCTGCGCAGTGCGGTGCTGTTGGAGCCCCATCCCGAGACACTGTCATGCCTCAAGTCCGTCCGCAGCTCTGCCTACCGAAACCCAGCCCAGTGCGGGAGGGACAAGACTGTGTCCTAGGGCTACTGAAAGCCAACCCCAAGGGCAAAGAGGCAGCCCAGAGTTGCCCCCGGCCGAGGGAGTCACAGGGAGAGATGGGAACTGAGGTCACGGTCCAGTGGCTGTGCGGCTGCAGATGGCCCTTGTCTTGCTGGGAAGGGAGCCAGCAGGGCCTGCGGAATGTGTGCGGGGATTCTGCAAGAGAACCCAGAACCTGCGCTTTTCATGTCAGTGTGCCTGGCTGGGAAATACCGTCCCTGTCCCACCCTGCTCACCTTCTCTGACCCTCTCTCCCCAGGCCCTCGGGACCCCCTGGACTTTCCCCGCCTGCCTGACCCCCAGGCCCTGTTCCCTACCCGTCGCCGGCCCCCTGAGTTCCCTGGCCGCCCCACCACCCTGACCTTCGCCCCAAGACCCCGGCCAGCTGCCAGCCGCCCCCGCCTGGACCCCTGGAAACTGGTCTCCTTCGGGCGGACGCTCAGCATATCACCTCCTAGCAGGCCAGACACCCCGGAGAGCCCAGGGCCGCCCAGCGTGCAGCCCACGCTGCTGGACATGGACATGGAGGGACAGAGCCAGGACAACACAGTGCCCCTCTGTGGGGCCCAGGGCCCCCCCTGAGGCCTGCCCCCCACCGCCCGCCTGGGCAGCCATGAATGTAGCGCCCCAGGCCCCGCCCCAGCCTGCCGTGCCCCAAGGCGCAAAGGCCCTGGGCAGGATGCTCACTATTTATTGGGGAAGGAGGGAGGGAGGGACTCTTAATTTATTCCTTTGTACCCCAGGGGTGGGGCTCTGTGCCCACCCTGCTGTGGGGGGGAGGGCGGGCAGGGATACTCAGGGACAGGGCAACGTGGGGGATTTGGCACAAGATGAAGCATTAAAGGTAACCCCTGCCCCCTACCGCGCTTGGCTGTGTGTCTTTCCCCAGTCTAGGCCCTGATGCAAGCCTGTCCCCAGGGGGACACTCCTGTACCCCACATGCCTCTCTGGGTAGTGAAAGGATGAGGCCCCATCCTGTGCCCCCTTCCTGGTCCGCATGAGAGCACCACACACAAAGAGGTTTTGGTCACCAGAGATGAGTGCTTTACCAGCAAACACATGAGTGGGGGAGGTTCCACCGCGAGCGGAGGGGCAGGAACAGGCAGCCCCTTGCCTCAGCCCACCACATCCCGGGCCTGGGCCCCAGCCCCGCTGTCTTCCCGCTGGAGGCTGCAGCGGCTCATCTTCAGCTGGGTCAGCTGGATGTAGCGGAGCACGTTGGTATCTGCAGGGGAGGTGGGCAGGGCATCCTTTGGGTGTCCTCAGGCTGCCGGTGACATCTGCAGCTCCGCTCCCCACAGTCGCCAATCGCCACCCCTCCCCCAAGCTCAGCTGCAGCCAGCAGCCGAAGACATTTCACACCTTCATGCTTTGCACGTGCAGCGCCCTCTGCCAGGAGCACCTCTGTGCAGCCTCCTGTCATGCTTCCACTCAGCCCCCAGGGACATCCGCAAGACATCTGTTCTCACCAAACCTCTCAGCACAGGAGCTGAACTTCCCTTCGCTCCCACAGCCCTGCCCCACGCACCTGCTGTGACCCTTTTCCCTCCTCTTCAGGGCTTGATACAAAACCGAGTGCTAGGTCGGGCTGCGCGCGCACCAACACAGGAGCGCCTCATCGTTATCTCCCAAAAAGCGGGGAACAAGCCTCCAGCTCTGCCACCCAAATCTCACCCACACCCACACCCACACGGCTTCCTGCTGTCACCTGCCCGGCCTGATGAGTGGGTGCCTGAGAGGTGAACGAGTAGGAGAGCGTGTGGGGGCTCAGTGAATGAGTGGGGAATGGGGCGGGGGCGGGGGACGGGAGAGGAGGATGGGAAGGTGCGGCCGGGAGAGGCTGGGCAGGGACGCATCAGGATGGGTCAGTGACTCGAGGAGAAGTGTTTGGGTCAGAGGAACGGCGAATGACGGGTGAGTGGACATCTGGATGGTGACGGGAGAGGTGGGTGAGTCGGGGGGCGATGTGTAAGGAGCGGGGGGATGGGGTGAGGCTATCCAGTGGGTGGCACGGCACTCCCTTAGGGCAGCTTTCGGGAGAAGCCCTGCACTGGGCCTGCTTCTCCCTCCCTGGTTCCCTCAGCTCCAGCCCCTTCCCCTGTGCGGCCCCGCCCCTCACCTGTGGGCTCCCGGCTGCGGGCCTCCTGCAGGTAGCGCAGCGCGCGTGCGTAGTCGCCCAGGTGGTAGAAGGCAATGCCGGCGCGGTAGGTGGCCTTGAAGTTGCCCTGCTGCTTCTCCAGCACCTTGAGACAGTACTCGCGAACGCGCTCGTAGTTCACCAGCTCCGACTGCAGCAGGCAAGCTACGGGGCGCCATTACTCAGAAAGCCTGCCTGCACCCCTAGGGCCCACGTGACCTCGAGGGGCCTGGCCTCCGACCGCAGGGCACCCTGCCCCTTCCCCATGGCCGAAGCGGTTACTCAGGCCACCAGAGGGCGCCAATCTGCTAGGCCATCAGAATAGACTCGATCTGCGCCGTCGCTAGAGGGCGCGAAAGACACCGAGGCAGCACTGTCTGGACAAATAGCCGGGAGGTTTCTGCTAGTAAAACTATTACGGGCCATCGCAGAGGCTCATCCAGGGTAAGCCTTTCTCACCTCAGGTTTGCTTGTGGCATGGGGAGGAAAGAATGACTAAAGGAAGTGAGGTTCTGAAGACCCATCCCAAAGTTCATTCCCTGCATCCCAGCGCCCTCCTTCCTGAGGCTCCTGCCACCGCCCAGCTCAACCCTTTCCTTGATCAAGTTCTGAGGGCTCCCCAGCAGACCGCAGCCCTGACACCTTCGGCCCCCATTGCCCCCCTCTCCGCAGCCCAGTCCTGAGTGCCCCTCATGCCCCACCTGTCTCACCCGCGTGCCCCCCTGCGCCCCCCGACGGCCAATACCCGTGAGAGAGTCGTAACATTCCACCTCCGTGCTCTCCACCAGGCGCCGCTGCTCCTCGCTGAGGCGGGCGGGCCCCGGGCTGGTGGCGGGCCCGGGGGCGGGGGCGGGCAGGCCGCCAGGGCGGGCCCCCTGTGCCGCCTTCAGCTGCAGCAGTGCCCGGTGATACTTGCCGATGGCTTCCCGGAACTTCTTCTCTCGGTAGCAGCGCTGGCCCTCCGCCTTGAACGCCACGGCGGCCCGCAGGCTGCTGTCGAGCGCTGCAGCCAGGCCCCCCGACGGCTCTGGGGCAGGACCTGGCCGAGCCGAGCCATGGCGGGGCCCCGGGCCCGGCGGGGAGAGGGCGGGAGGCGGGCGCGGCGGAGGCTCCGGGGCAGCGCTGAGCATCAGCACCGGGGACAGCGCGCCGCGCTGCATTGTGGGAAACTCCTGCGGCCGCTGCTGCAGCTACTGCATCGCCCCCCGCGGGGCCGGTCCCCACCCTTTCTCCGCCCCCGCACCTCCGGCTGCCGACTCCGGCTGCCCCCTATGGGTCTAGAGAATCCCCTCAACACTTTTCCCGCTCCCCTTCCAATCAGCCCCAGCCCTAGCCCTAATTCTCCAGCCAACTGTCCCTTGTTCCCACGCCCCTTACCGTCCCCACCCTCCTGCCTGCTCTCCCCCTCCATGTCCAAAGCTCCTGAAGATTTCTAGAAGAAAAGAATGAGCTTGAGGGAAAGAGCATCACGGTATCAACTTTGTAGAGAGCTGGTTTTCAGCCCACTGCCATTTGCCATGTTGGATAAGAAAACAATATGGACTCACGCTGCCCAAATTCAAACCCCTCTTTATACCCTCACTAGTACTTGGGCTGTTCACTTACGTGACCTAGAACTCCATATGCAGTAACATGGGTGAAGTACTATCAATTCATTCATGTGTTTATGCCACAAACAACTGTGGACCGATACTTTCTCTGTGCCTGGCTCCTCTGGATGAGACACAATAAAGACGGAGAGAGGCTTTCGGATTCTACGCTCGCTGAACCCTTCAACCCCGCGGGAAACAGACCAGTGACCAAACAGTGACAGCCCAAAGTGGGCTCACCTGGGAAGCACAGGCAAAGGGTCCGGGTTAGGATGGGGGAGACCTGACAGGCTGTGAGGGCCCAACAAGGCCCTGTGCCAGGCCGAGGCGGTGACTGACAGCTTCTACGAGGAGAGAATAATTCCACCACCAAGAGAGCGCCGTTTCTTGCCCTCGCTGAGCTCACATCATCGAGGGAAGCCAACGAGGAAGCACACAAGTCCCCCGGGGACAGTGCAGAGAAAGCGGCACGATAATGAATGAATATTAAAGGCAGAAAACACGTGGGAGGCTTTCGAGAGGAAGGTAGAGGGTGAGTGAGGTGAATGCCCTTGAGCCCTCCTCAGCTGTGGGATCTGGGCCAAATTCCCTGCTCTCCTAGCACTTTGACTTCCTTCTCGTGCACGTACCTCGTGGCGGGGTGGGGGGCGGTCAGCACCGTGCAAAACGAGCGCTTAGCACAGGGCCTGGTGCTGTAATGGGTGATTTCATGCCGTCCATTAGACTCAGAGTTACTTGATCACAAATCCCTGGCTCTGAGTCAAAGGACCCACAGATCACTGTTGGATAAGAAAGTAGTCGATAAGGGGCTGGGGATTTAGCTCAGCGGCAAAAGCGCCTCCCTGGCAAGCACAAGGTCGTGAGTTCGGTTCCCGGTACCGGAGAAAAACCAAAAAAAAAAAAAAAAAAAAAAAAGAAAGTAGTCGATAGCTTCATATATCACTGTTCCTTTCCGTACTCAAACACCCTGACTTGGGTCTCAGCCACAAGCACCAGGCCTGCGTCTCCACCGTCCCCATTCCTGTCACTGGAGGTCCCCTTGGAGGTCCCAGGACAGGTCCTGCCCAACAGGCCAAAAACCTGAACTCCGCAACTGCCATCCCAGTAGCATCTGTGGCAACCCTTGTGCTTTTGCTGAACGAGTCTCACCCCCACCCCGGGGGGGCGGGTCTGACCTTGAAAACTCCATGGGCGTTCACAGCGTCCTCTGTGCACCTCCAATCCCCGGCTCTGTTAGGAGGCTCACATTCCCGAGTTTGACCTTCCTAGCAGTGCACTCACCTCTCTGTGCCTCAGGTGTGTTGGAATTACTTTTTAATGAAAAACACAGACATCCATTGACTCATAACAAATGTTACATCACCTAAGTGACAGCAGCAAACTAAACAGGTGACAACTGTCCCTCGCCGCTAGACTGTACCTCGTCCTCGTCACACTTCTGCAGCCGCTGGTAAATGTCAGCATTGTCCTAAACCTTTCCACACCTGTTAAATCGCATCCTTACCACACCCCACTGTGAGGGCGGTGCTATACTCACCGACACGTCGTCACTCCAGAGACTAAGTAAACCAGACACCATTTATTAAACTCTGACTATCAGAGATCTTGCCAGCTGATGACCTTCACAGGGCAACACGGGTGATGTGCCCGACTTGTACAACCATTAAACATATTGAATTCGTTCGTTGACAGCATATGAATACTGAGATGTTACTGGAATGGCAGATTTCTAGATTTACTTGAATAAAATGTGCAAAGTTGGCAACATCGAAGTAGCATCCCTCATGCCTGGGGCGGGCACTCTTCTGTTTCCGTTTCCACCCCTTGCCGTTTCTTCCCAGCGCGGAAGAAATCCCACGGCGAGCTGGAGCGGCGTTGCGGGAAGTCCGGCAGTGCCCCCTCGCGGAAGAGTTTAGAATTTGCATCTTAAACTCCAGAAATCATGAAGGGGTTTGGTAAGAACGTCCAATCAGAGGCATGAGAGGCCTAAGAAGTTACCAATCAAAAGCGAGAGGTGATTGGCATTCAACCAATCAGGACAGAGCGCTCAGAATAAAAGAAACATTTTATTAGCGTAGGAAACGAACACACACAGTGAGAACTTCTGTTTTCTGAGCGGCCTTGGGGTCTCAGGGAGGCGCAGGCTGGGGGTGGCGGAGCAGGCGGGCGGCAGCGAGGCTGATGCTCTGGCGTTGGGGCCGCGCGTACTTGAAGAAGACCGCGGCGCTGCCCGGCGCGGGGCCTCGGAGCGCAGCACGGACCATGCACGGCTCCAGGTCGCCCAGCTCCGAGGGACTGCGGCGGGGAGACGGAAAAACGGACGCAGGGAAGGGGCTGGAGGGTCGCGGTTGAGAAGACACTTGGAATGTAATCTTGCCTGGGAAGCACTGAGGGGGGCAGATACCTGATTCCCCCTGGGGGGGGGGGGCCCTGGACCATTGGGGAGGGAAGGAGGGAGGCCAAGGAGAGCAGACATCCACTCTACCCGGGGCTCCCAAACTGAGGGAAACGCTGATTCACCTTGCTATCCAGTGGCGTGGCTAACACGGTTACTGGTTCTAGCAGCTAAAGGGACAACCCATCTGAAAACAGTTATGGAACTGGGGTCTCATTCTCAAGCTTGGAACACAGCCTTCGGAGCCTGAGAAGACCTCATCTTCCTGGAATCCCCGAGTCAGCATAAAACACCGCCATGCTCTTACACCGCCCCGCAAGAACCTCTAGGCTAGGGAGACACCCCATTCTCTCCCATGCCCAGGAAATCAAGTCTAGGTGCGTCTCATTCTCCGAGATGGTCAAGTAGACGACCAGGAAGGGAGGTTCAGTGAAGCGGCAGACGCTAGGCCGTACCTGTAAAGCGCCGGCTCCGGCCAGGAGCCCGCCCCGTCGAGCACACGGTGCGCCAGGCTCAGCGCCGCAGCTGCTCGACGACCAGGCGCCCAGCCCGCGGCCTCCGCCTCCAGTAAGGAGAGCTCCAAGAAGTAGGTGGCCAGTAGCATCACCTGCGGGGGCGGCAGAGTGAGCCTCGGGCCCCGCCCCACCCGCAGGCCCCGCCCCCACCGCGCGCACCTGGGGGCGGCTCCCAGCCAGTGCCGCTTGCAGGCCCAGGCAGAGCAACGGGCCAGGGTGGTGCAGCCGGAAATCCAGACGGCTCAGGATGCGGCGCTCTGCGCGGAGCAGCTCTGCTCTCGAGAAAGAGCCGGCGCTTAGGAGGCAGAGGCAGGCAGGCTGCGGATAGGAGTGGAGGGAGCCTTAGACTCCCTGCCCAGAGAGCCTGGGGTCGGTTCAGTCCAAGTTCCTGCCTCAATTAACTATTCTGTAATACGAGGGCCACTGACTTTTGTCCGGAAGTCATGAATCTCGTGGGCTGCAAAGAGGGAATACCTGGTAGGACCCAACGTTTATTCGCTGCGTGACATGGGACATGCATTTAAACTGTCTCCATTTCGTCTTCATATGTAAAACCGAGATAATTCTGCCCACTTCCCAGGCAGCTCCAACAAGGGACCGAGTTTATGCACGTTCAAGCTACTACTGTAACTATTCCAGATGGAGTTTAAGCCCCAACTGGGCAAATTTCATCCCCTCTCTGGGACTCAGTCTCCCCTTCTGTTCCCCTCCGCCCTGCCCCTCACTCGTACTGGGAGTTTAACCTAGGGCCTTCGAACTGTGCTACATTCCCAGCCTTTTTAAAATTTTGAAACAGGATCTCTCTGAGTCGCTAAATTGTTCAGGATGGTCCTGAACTCGAGATCCTCCTGCCTCAGTCACCCAGAAAGCTCGGATTACAGGCATAGGCCATCAAGCCCGACCGACTCCTCTGTTAAGGGGTCACATTAGCAGCCCCTACCTCAGAGTTGCTGGGCTGCCAAGTACACCGTAAAGCACTTAGCACACAGTAGGAGTGTAATCAGAGAAGGCAAAGGCCCCACCCTCCAAGCCCGCCCCGGAAGTACCTCGGGAAGCACGCACTCTTCCATTTTGCAGGCCAGGAACAGACAGGCCACGCCCAGCAGCTGCAGGCGGCGTAGGCGCACTCGGCCCTCGCGCAGGTAGGAATCGAGCAGGTGCACGGCCAGGTAAAGCGTGTCCCCCGCCAGGCCCAGGTACTCCTGGGGAGGGGCACGCGTGACCACCGAGGCCCCCGGCGGAGACACAGGTGCCGCTCACTCTCCCTGGTACTTACGTGCACCTGGACCAGCCAGTCCACCACTAGGGCGCGCATCTCCGGAGTCACGGTGCGGGACGGGGCGCTCCCGGGCAGCGCGCGGCACGCCTGGGGTTGGGCGAGGACCGCCTCACTCTCCACACCTGTGCCTCGGCGCCTCCTCGAGCGCCCGCCCGGGGCGCAGCAGCCTCCTCCCTGTTGGACCGTTGGACGTCCCAGCCGCACCGCGGTCAAGCTGCTCCTCTAGAACCTTGAACTTTGTTCTGGATGCCTCCCTACCCACCTCTCCACTGTGTGCCCCCAACCGGGCTCCCAAATTCCACTCTTGTCACCAACCCTCAAACCGTTCCTCCAGGAGCACCCAGACGGTCTGGGCAAAGACGGATCTAACCGAGGAACCCTCTTGCTCAAAACTTCCTTGGCTCCCAGTACCCTTAGGAGGAAATCCTAATTCCTCTCAGTCGCCCTCAGGCCCTGCCCCTGATCCAGTGCCCCCTCTTCCCTCTCTGTCCCCTCACTTCATCTTCACTCGGGAGTCAGCCGGTGTCTCCCTTTCTGTTTGGTCTGTTGGCCCCGTTACGCTGCCCCTACGGCGAGGGTAGAGACTTCCGTGGGCACAAATGAATCTCGGTTCCCCAGAGACCTTGGCTTTTTGTGACTTTCTGTAATTAAATATTTGCTTGTCTGTCTCCCTAGAATGAAGACAGATACTCGTCATAGCAGCCCCAGTGCCTAGCACGTGCTCAAAAACAAGTCAAATTGCGAAGTGTTTCTTAAATAAACATGAGTCGCCAAGGGGAAGGGACTGTGAAATACCAGAGGGAGGGCTACAGACCGCCTGGGGACCGTGGGAAATGGCGTTTCGATGAGTGGAGAGAAACAGAAAAGCCTAGAAAGCTGGGCGGTGGCGCACACCTGTACTTCCAGCACTCCGGAAGGCTGAGGCAGGAAGATCGCGAGTTTGAGCCGGGCCAGGGCAACTCAGTGCCTTTGCGCGAGCCGGGGATGTAGTTCAGTGAAGGCCCTGGCTTCAGCCCCGAGCATGGGAGTGGGCGGAGTCGGTGAGTTGTGGGGAGGGAGCTTGCTGGACCGCGGGGGAGGTGGGGATCGGGGCTTGCTGACTGGGTGCTGGGCTAGCTGCTCCCCAGCGCGGGGATGGCGCAGGGTTGCCCGCTCACCATGACCTCCGCAAAGATGTCCCCGGCGTATTCGCGTTCTCCCTCCAGCCCCAGCGCGCTCAGCGCCTCCTCCAGCCCGGGCGGCGCGCGCGGCCCCGGGGGGCGCTCCTGGCGTCCAGGGGGGACACTCGTGCCCGCCGCGATGCCGTCGGGAGCTGGGGCACCCGGAGACTCTGGGCTGAGGGAGGCAGCGGGACCCTGAAAGGAAGAGGGGTAGGAGACAGTGCCTGAAGCAGACCCAAGCTGGGCGAGGAGCGCTGGCCCCCGTCCCTCACCAGCATTCTGCAGCCTGGCGTCGCGCGAAGGCAGGAGCCCAGGTCTGCAGCAGCAGCAGCAGCAGGAGGGAGCGGGCGCCAGGCGCTTTGAACGGCCTGCGCGCATGCGCACTGAGCTCGTGCGCTCCGAGCGCGCTTCGCCTGGGCAGGCGCAAATGCTGGTGAGCTGGTAGGCGGGAAGGCGGGTAGGCAGCGCCGCCTCCTCGCCTCCTCAGGCCCGCACAATCGGCCAAATCCTCGTCCTGGCGCCTCGGCCACTGCTTCACTTTTCTCAATCCTAACATAAGGGTTGTTTCAACACTTAGCCAGTAGCGTTGTCCTGAGGTTTTTAGAAGACGTGTTAAGTGTTCCGCTCAGAGGCTGATACAGTAAAAAACAGAAACCAAAAAACTCAAGACGTCGGAGCTATACATCGTTTAACGAGTGTTAAAGGAAGGCCTCTGCACTGGGTCACTCAGCAGGAATAAGGCACCTGTGGGTGCTGCCTTGACCTAACCCACGGCCTGAGGCGGTGACTGTCTCCAAAATCAGTCCGGACCGTGCAGTGGCCTCCGAGCTGAGCTCCCTGCTCCGGGCCGCAAGCCTGCTCCCCGCGTGCAGCCAGAGGAGTGCGGGGTTGGGCGCTGTGGTGCACATCTGTACTCCCAGCATCTGGAAGGATGAGGAAGGAGGATTGCCCGATCAAGCCCAACCCTGGAAACTTAGCAAGCTCCTGTCTTAATTTTTGTTTTTTTGAGACAAGGTCTCACTATGTAGTTAAGACTAGCTCTGAACTCACATGTAGTCCAGGCTGGCCTCGAACTCAGGACGATCCTCCTGCCTCAGCCTCCCGAGTGCTGGGATTACAAGTGTTCGCCGCTATACCCAGCTCTGTTTTAAATTTTTTAAAAGGGTTAGGGATATAGCTCAGTGCTAAGCTCTTGGTTCAGCTCCCAATATTGGGGTGGGGCAGTTGAAGGCCTAGGTCGCCCTATATCATCTGTCTCCACCACACACACAAACCTCTCTGAACTCATCTACCCTAATCCCACCCGCCTTCACTCTCCTCTCCAGCACCCACGCTGGCCTCCTGGCTCTTCCTTACCCACACCAGGTACAGTCCCACCCCAAGGCCTTCGCACTAGCTGTTCCTCTGCCTGATACTGTACGTTCTGCCGTCAGATACGGTTCCCTTCCCAACCCTCCTCTCAGACATTTACTCAGATGTTGCCTTCTACCCAGAAAGGCAATGCGGCATGCCAAGGACTTCCTGTTCTCCTCCCTGCACTTCCTCTGTCCTTAGCACTTACTGCCTTGTAACCAAGCATGTGTTATGGTCCTCCTCTTAACTTGAATGTGTGCCCCATGAGGGCAGCAGGGCCTTTTGTCTTCTTCCCCCATTGCCTACATCAGGGCCTGGCACAGTAGATGTTCAATAAACGTCTGTTGAATGAATGATTGAACAGAGTGGACATACTTTAGACACAGTGGTCCAAGAGGGTCTTTGTGAGGTGATCACACAGGATGAAACCTGATCAAGAGCCAGGACTGCAGAGAGGGGAGACCACTCCCAGTGGAAGTGAATGAGCGAAGGCCCCAAGGTAGGAAACACTTGCTATTTTCACTGAGAGGTCAGTGCAGCTGCAAGGGGCAGCGGGGTGAGATACTGGGCCAGGTGCTTCTCTAACGTGGCTCGCTTCTGTTCTCACCGTCACTGCAGCAGAGAAACCCTGGACTCTCTGTCCCCCACTCCCCGCCCGCGGGGAGAAAGCTAACAGACACCTGCAAGGGATCAGCGTGGCCACTGCAGGGGCAGTGGTCACCGTGCGCTGCCTCACGGTTGGCGGGGGTGGCGGGGTTGCCATCATGGAATTCTGCCAAAAGTAGCAGAATTAACCACAGAGACACAGCAGGCAACAAGTCCTGATGGGAGAACAGTCTGCAGAGTAACTGTCCCGCGAGTTCCCAACCCAAAGGCTAGATCCAGCATGACCGTGACTGACCGTGACCGCCTGGACCGAGCCATTATCCAGGAGGCAAGTTTTTGTCTTGTGAATACACGGATGGTATGATGACTATAAGCAGAATGTGATTAAGGGTCCGTAGAGGCGCACTGTGTCAACGCTGGCTCTCTGACCCCGGTGACCAGACCCAGGGCACAGAAGACAGTATTCTTATTTTAGGATAGACACGTGTATATGAAGCAGGGAGGGGTACAATAGATACAAAATGTTATGAAATGCAGATTTTGCTAATTAAGGAAACGTCATGAGGAACCTAGGGGAAGGATTTTTTTTTCACACTACTGGGATGAACTCAGGAACTTGACCATGCTGGGCAAGTGCTTTGCCTCTGAGCTACATGCCCAGCCCCATTTTATGTACTTTGTTTACATAAAATTGCTGGGACTTAACAGAAAACTGCAAAATAGTACAGTTCCCGTCTCTCCCACACCCACTGTCCCCTACTAAGCCCTTAGGCATGTCTGTCACCACTGAGGAACCAATTCTCACCGGCTATGCAGTGAAAGCCACGCCCCACCCAGCCTCGATCTTTTCCTGCTGTTTTTCTGTCCCCGGATCCCTGCCGGGGAACTTTCAGTCCCACCTCCTTAGGTCTTGCTTGGCAATGCCAACGTCTCAGGCTTTCCTTGTCTTTAGTGACCCTGACAGTTTCGGGGCGTCCTGCTCAGGAATTCTGCATGCTGTTCCTCAGCTGGGTGTCCCTCAGTGTCACCTTTCCCTTGGCTAGACTCGGGTCGTGGGGTGTTTTGTTTTTTTTTTTTTGGTGGGGCAGGGTCTCGCCATGTAGCCCATGCTGGCCTTGAACTCAGGACGATCCTCCTGCCTCAGCCACCTGAGCACTGGGATTACAGGTGTGCACCACACGCCCGGCGCTGGGGTGGTGTGCTTTGGGAAAGAAGACCACACAGGTCAAGCGCCCTCCTAATAACCTCCCATCAGAGGCAGACACTGTCAACAGGATTTACTGCTGATGCTGACGCAGCACTTGTCAGGTCTCTGAGAACCGACTTCTCTGTTGTGTTCTCTGGAGAAGCCCCCCACCCTGTGCACCCTACACGGGACACTGCTCTTGCCATCACTTTCCAGTACAAACTCATTTATTTCATACTTTGGGGAAAAGTCCACACTGCACAATTTTGTTGCTCGTTTCTTCTTCAGCTTTTGCCACCGGGAGCGCCTCGCCTGCTCCGAGCCCCTCGGGCACAGCCCCACCGGTGGGGAGCCCCAGCTTCACCAATGCGGAGCATGCGCGCCCGCTGAGCCCCACCCCAGCCTTCCAGGGTTGAGCACGCTGCTCCTCTGGGCATTACTGCACGCTCTGGGTTCGCCGTGCTTCCTGCCCCAGTCCTGGAGTCATCTTAGTATCATTTCTCAAAGTCTCCTGCAAGTCTGCAGTTATTTCAAACTTTTTTTTTTTTGTCTTTTTTTGGTTTTTCTGTGGTACCGGGAACCAAACTCACGACCTTGCGCTTGCCAGGCAGGCGCTTTGCTGCTGAGCTAAATCCCCAGCCCATTTCAAACTTTTAAATATGTGAATTGCTGTATTTTTGGCAAACAACCTGACACATATTAAAATCCCAGGATGTAGGCCACCAATGTGAAAGCACAAATGAAGATGGGTCCTTAAGGTTTCTTACAGCACTACTGAGAGCAGAAAACCAAAACAAAACCCCAAAACCCAAGTAAATTCTTCAAGGGGAAGCTGAGTCAGCACCCACCCCTCAGAGCCTGGGAAACAGCTGGAAAGTGTGAGGTAGCAACAGGCACCAGGAGCTCCCCAGAAAGCAGAGGTGAGGCTTAGACAACCTCAGTCCTGCCAGTATGGGCAGGGCAGTACCTGGGAGTAAAGTGACGAATAAAGGAGGAGTCTTTGTTTTGTTTTGTTTTTTTGAGACAGGGTCTCGCTATGCAGTTCAGGCTGACCTTAGATTTACTGATAGCCCAGACTGGTCTCGAACTAACAATGATTCTCCTGCCTCAGCCTCCCGAGTGCTGGGATTGCAGGCGTGCGCCACCACACCCAGCTTGTTTTGTTTGTGAGGCAGGGTCTCACTCACTGTATAGCCCAAGCTGGCCTCGAGTTCACAGCAATCCTCCTGCAGCATCCCGAGTGCTGGGATTAGAGTGCGCTGCCCATACCCAGCGGGAGCAAGCTTTTTAAGCTACCACAGTACAGTGTGTACTCAAGGTCCTGGGGCCTGGGGTGAGTTTCACTTTCTTCCCCATATTTTTACATTTACACACACACACACACACACACACACACACACCCCTACCTCATGAAATTTTGAAAATGGACACTGGAAAAGATCAATGGACTCAAATTTTAATTGGTAAAATTTATTAAAACTCATCACCTTAAACTAAGAAGCACCAGTACATCTAAGGATACATGTCCCACTAAGAGAAGCAGGTGACCGAGTGTGGGACCTGCCTGTGCGGCTTGCGAGGAGGACTAAAAGCATGAGGTAGACTGGAGCGCACCCACACCGGGAGATCCGAGCCACACCGCGACCAAGAAACTGTTCACATCCATCACCCCGGGGCCGGGACTAGAGGGAGAGTGAAGGGCGTTTCTTTACAGGCCTCTGACAGGCACCCTGCCTAAGCACCCACTGGTAATTAGAGACAGTAAGCCCCATACAAAGTCAGAAAAGCCGCCAGCAGCAGCAGCAGCAGCAGCACAGCTGTCTCCACTGCGGCCGGGGCTGCGGCTGATCCTGTGAGCTGGGCTCCACTCTCCCCAACTCACCCAAAGGCGGGGCCTGTGAGGCCCTCGACCCAGTAGGACCTGACATGGATTCAACCGTGCCAGGCGCTCTGTGTGACATGGTCCCCAGGCCTGAGCGTGCAGCCACTGCAGCCAGGTGGCTTGGCTCACTGACTCAGGCATGGAGATGGGGACATAGGGTAGCAGTTCCAGCCCCAGCCAAAGGGGCACAGGGGCCAGAAGAGCAACTCCCAGAGCTAGGAGCAGCCGTAACCCAAAGCTCAGGTGCTCCTGGCCGAGGGTGACCACTGATCCATTAATACACCAGGGCCTGCGGCCTCAAGGCCCTGGTGCGAACGGGCTGTGGCAGGAAAGCCCCACGCATCCACTCAGCTCCAGGGCCTCACCTCCCACCCAGCCCTCGCGCCGCTCTGTCCTGCTCCTCTGGCCAGAGCATCACCTATGACCCTGGAATGGCCTGTATGCCACACCCTGCCCTTGGCCAGGGGAACCTCCCCAACTCCCAGCCATTCCCGAGACCCCCCACCCTCTTCAGCCTGGGCTCAGCACCCGCCTGCCCACCTCCCCTGCTCCCTCCCCTTGGCTCAGCAGGGCCCGAAGAACAGAGCAAGGGAGAGGTGGGTTGGTGCCCAGAGCGGACTCCAGAACCGTGGCAAGGCCGGGCAGGCGGTGGCCGGCAAAAGTGCAGGCTGGCCCCGTTCTGAAATGAGTGTCTTTATTGCTTGTACCGTACAAATATAGGGAATAAGGCCGGTGGGGAGTGGGAAGAATTGTCAGATAAACCACATACACACACAGAAAGGAAAAAAGACCCCCCAGACCCAAGCCACCCTACCCCCACATGCCTTTCTGAGAACTGCCTAGTACAGGAGCTGGGACAGGGAGATCAAAATCACAAAAACTAAATTCCAAACACCCCAGGACATTGAGATTGAGGGGGGGAGGTGAGGGGGCAGGGCAGCAAGGCGCCCACACCCCCAGGGGAATGAAGCGCTCAGGCCGGGGCGGGGCCCGAGCCCACACACACCACGCACACTTGAGGGCTTGGACACGCTGCCCTCACACACGTGCACACGCAGCCACGTGCGTCTGCATCCCAGAGGCGGGGACACCCGCGGCTCCGTCGGCAGCATGCACCTTAAGGCTTCAGAACGCGGCCCTGGATTGGGGGAGGGGGAGGGGCCTGAAACCCTGTTTGCAGAGGCTCCCGCACCGCAGTGTGTACCAGAGACGCCTGCCCTGCTCCCTGCTTGACCCGAGTCCACAGGGCCCAATACTGTCTCTGTGAGAGATGTGTAACAGCTGAGGCTGGTGCCCCTCTGCCCCAGGCAGCAAGAAGGGGCAACCCTAGATCCTACCCTCCAAGGGGCTGGGCCAGGTTTGGGGTCCAGCGGGAGGTAAGGCCTGCTGGACGGAAGCCCTGGTAAGGCACGGGGCTGGGGGCAGGGCGGGCAAGCTGCCCCCAAAAGTTGCTTCTGCTTTACCCACAGGTCAGGAGAGCAGCTGGGGGGAGGGGGGTGGGCATGCCCCCTTCCTGGTTCCCTACAACATAGGTCCAAGGAATCCCAAATCCCTGGTCCCACAGCTCCCAAAGACCCCCTGCCTGTCCCTGGACATTATTGCTTTTTTTGCCCCCAGTGGGGTGGCACTGGGTGGACTGAAGCCCTCGAGCCAGGCCACAGGATACAGAGGGCCGTGGACACTGTCTCCTGGGGCCATCCGGACGCAACCTCCATCCAGAAGCAGCAGTGCAGGCAGCCGCCCGTGAGTGCTCGGCCTGAAATCCACGCCCACCCCGCAGCGCCACACTTTGCCTTCGCTGGGGCTGGTGCTGATTAAAAGCCTGAAGCTCCCCACCCTCCCCCCAGCCCATCCCGGGCAGGAGGCGGACCAGGCAGGAGGGACCGTCCTCCAACACTGCGCTGGGCACAAAGGCGAGGCTGGTGCTGAAGGCTGCGGGGCGCTGGGGGCAGGCAAGGGCTGAAGGAGACTGGGAACCGGGAGGGCGTGAGGGACGGGGACACAAACCAAAAAGGCAAAATAGAAAGTTTTTCTTAAAAAAGCCACCCAGGCGGAGGACAGCGACCATGGGTCCTCTGCAGGCGGAGGCTGCTCACTCGCGGATGCTGGCCGAATAGGAGAACTGGGGGAAGTGCGTCCGCTGGTCCAGCTCCAGTGAGCCCAGGCTGTCATCTGTGGGGTCGGGTGGAGGAAGAGCGGGGTGACCAGCCTGGAGATGGCCAAGGGGGCCCCAACAGACTTCCCAGGGAACACCCCTCGGAAAGGCTGCAGGGGACCACAGGAGCCCTCAGCCAGCAGGGGCTCCCCTGAGAACGGACAGAGAAGGCTTTCCCGAAGGAGCCACCCCCAGCCACAGCCCACTTCCCAGGCCAGCCGCGGGCGGCCTGTCTGGGATGCACCTGCAGCCCCCGGCCTCCCAAAAGTCCCCTTCGTCTCTCCTCCTCCTCCTCCGCACGCCACACCAGGCTCGAGCTTAGGCCTCTCAGCTGAGGGCCTGGCCCGGGCCTGCTCACGCCGTGCTACCTTCCGCACAGAGCCAGAGGACTTTCTCACACCTGGATGCAGCCCTATCGCTCTGCCCAAAACCCTTCCATGGCTCCCCATGCGAAGGGTCCCCACTCAGCCAGCTGTGATGGTGCATGCCTGCAACCCCAGCCCTCCAAGGAAACGCTCCAGTGTGGAGGAGAACGCTGGGGAGGAGGCGCTCCAGTGTGGAGGAGAACGCTGGGGAGGAGGCGAGAGGAAGGAAGGCAAACAGGAAGGGATAGACAGGGAGGGGTAAGAGAAAAAATAGGAAAAAAATGGAAATAAAGCTTTCGTAAACAAGGAGAAGAGGGGTTGAAGGGAGGGGAGTGGGAAAAAAAGAGGATACATCACGTACAGGTATAAATACCCTATAATGAGTATTATCATTATATATCTAAAATCTACCAATAAATATATAATATTAAAAAAATAGGTAAAAAAAAAAAAAAATCCCAGCTCTCTGAGAGGCTGAGGAAGGAAGACAGCAAGTTCAGGCCCCACCTAGACAACTTAGTGACCTAATGAGATTCTGTCTCAAAAATAAAAGGCCAGGGATGTAACTGTGCACAGAAAAAGGAAGGAAGGAAGGAAGGAAGAGGTCCTCATTCCCCGTTGGTCCCTGAGATCCTTTTTTTGGGGGAGAGGGGGTTGTTTTTTTTTCCGGTACCGGGAATCGAACTCACAACCTTGCACTTGCCAGGCAGGCGCTGTGCTTCTGAGCTAAATCCCCAGCCCCAAGATCCTTTTTCAACTGACTCCCACACCCTTTTACCTCCCCGGAGCCCCTCTGCCCTGCTTGCAGACTGTTCCTCGACTGTTCCTCTCCCTACCACTGGCATCCACACGCACTCCCAGGGGTTCGCCCCAGCGGACGTCCCATTTCAGGCACTCCCTCTGCTCTTCCCAGAATCCTTCGATCCTACATAAGCCCTGACCACACTAGGCTGGTCCCCCGACCTGGACTGGGAGGCCCCTGGAGTGCAGGGCCCAGGGCTAGTTTGGTCACTGCTGTCTCCAGTCCCGCTTGGGTGGGTTCAAGGTAAGAACACAGACAGCAGAGGATTCAAAACACTCAATCCAGCCCAACAAGTGGTGTCTCCTGCCAGAGCTCCGTCCCAAGGTCACAGTGCACCATGGTGACCCTCCCCAGGCCCAGCAATAACCACCAGCAAATGACACGATACGCAGATCTTAGGACAAACTCCCCAGATGCAGAGAGGGTGGCCTGCGGGGTCCTACTGGGGATCTGGGTCCACCTTGCCTCCACCCTGCCAGGCCCAGTGGCCTCGTGGCCCAACACTCACAGCGGTCCGGGGGCGTGATTGTGATCGACTGGGCGGTGAACTCGTCATCGAAGTACCTCGTGTCCACCTCAGAAGTGACCTGAGGCTTGAAGGGTGGCAGCAGCTACAGAGGACAGGAGCACATACTCAGGGACCTCAGGGACAGGCCCCCAGCCAGCTCCCCCGTGATCAGCCAGGGCCCCGTGCTGCGGCAGGGGGGGGCTCACCTTCTTCTGTACCACATCCTGCCAGTTGATGCTCAGGAAGAACCTGTGCTCCATGACCTCCTTGGCATCGCTGGGCCCCCCGCCAAGCCTGGGAGACACAACCATCAGAACCCGCCTCCCACAGCGGCCGCGACACTGGGCTTTGGTGTGGCAGGCGTGAGTGTGAGCCTGTGACGTGCAGGCCCCGCACAGCCTTAAGGTTCTGTCCTGACTGCAAACCACCACTTCACAGAGGGGCAAAGAGCTCAAGGGAGGGCACTCCCGGGCCTGGTGTCACGGCGGCGGGACACTGATCAGAACCCATGTGGACTTGGGGCCTGCCCTCACCGACTCCAGAAAAGGAGGTGACAGGGCAGGTTTGGAAAATGACTGATTTGTATCCACGCTCAGCTACATACAACTCAGTGACCCTCGGCCAAGGACAGAGCTGCCCGTTCCTCAATGTCTCCATAAATCACCCGTGCCAAGGGTTGGCCAGGAGTACGAAAGTGCCCTCCAAGTGCCACCTGCAGGGACCACTGGGGGCTGCACGGGGGACAACACGTACTTCGAGCTCACAGGAGCGTTCCTGTAGGAACCTGGCCTCCAGGCTGAGCGACAGTGGCAGCCCACTTGGCACTGGGCTGGGTGGGGGAGACTCCAGCCCTCACCTCTGCTTGGGGTCCTTCTTCAGCAGCCCAGCCAGAAGGGACTTGGCCTCAGGGCCGAGCGTGCGCGGGAAGCGGATCTCCTCCATGAGGATGAGCTCGAAGAGGCGCTCGTGGTCCTGGTTGTAGAAGGGCAGGCGACCACACATCATCTCATACATGACCACGCCCAGCCCCCACCAGTCCACGGCGCGGCCGTAGTCGTTGTCCTCCAACACCTGAGGAGGAAGGGCAGTGAGTGGCCAGGCCCACGCCAGGGGCAGCAGGCGGAGGTGTGAGGGAGGAAGGCAACAGGGCTAAGGGGCCCTCCACCCTTGCCCTATGGGTTCCTGTGCCCCCCAGCCCCGGGCACCTCTGGTGCCAGGTACTCCGGGGTCCCACAGAAGGTTTTCATGGTGGCTCCATCACTGATGCCCTCTTTGCACAGGCCGAAGTCAGTAATCTTGATGTGGCCATCTTTGTCCAGCATGAGGTTTTCCAGCTGCAGGAAAAGTCAGTTTATGAGACGCATGTCTTCCCAGGGCTGTCACTCCAGCCCTGCCCTCTAAGGCCTGTGGCTTGAGGTGTTAGCTGTTATGCCAGGGGCTCCTGGGCATCAGCTTCCCCGGGGCTAGGATGGCCACAGCGCGTACAAAGGGAAATACACACCAGAAGGTTTAAGCATTCGCCCTCTGGAGCTCAGAGGAAAGCCAGAACCACACCGCCCCGTGCTCTGGCCACCGCTTAAGAGAAGACTGCAATTTCTTAAGGCCCAGTGCGACTAAGGGCACTATCCTTCCTGCATGTTATTCTAAGGATTTTTCATTTAATTATGAAACAGACATCAGGAAAGAAAAGAATATAAAACAAATGGACAATGCAGTGGTGCCTTTGTGTAACTTCCAAGTCAAGAAACAACATCAGGAGACCCCTATGTGCCCCTTCCTATTGGACATCTCCTGCCTCAGAAGTGACTTAATTCTTTCTCTTTACAGGTTCTCTCCTTTGTTATGCCGGGGATGGAACCCAGAGCCTCACACATGTGAGGCAAGCACTCCACCACTCAGCCACATCCCCAGCCCCTCCTTCCGTAATTCCAACACTGACGTGTGTAACTGCAAGCAACGCTGGGCCCACCTCATCTCTGCCTTTCCCCGTAACGCCAGCCTGTGAGGTATGGCCACACTGCTGAGTAGCTGTGGTTTGTTCTCTTTCTGCACGTGGAGAAACCACACACATCTGGTCCTTTCTGTGGCGGGGTGTGTGGCCAGTGTCACCGGTACTGCCTGGCCGTGTGCACATGTGCCGAGGCGGACACGGCTATTCTGCTGGGGCGGACACTGCCTTGCTACTTAGTCCCAAAGGGCTCCTACAAGCTGAGTGCACACCTTATCCCAGCACTGCAGGGGCTGAAGCTGGATGGCCGCTGCGAGTCCCAGGGCAGCCTGGACTAGCGAGCTCCAGACCCTGTCTCAAAATACCCAGTCTCAAAAAAAATTTTTTTAAATATACGGCTTGTGCCAGCAGACACTTCCACCAATGGCTGGGATTGTTCACAGGGGATTTGGAAAAGTCCTCAACACAGAACCATGAGGCGGACTCCTTGGTGTGAGGCCCACATGTGCGCCCCAGCCACCCGCCCCGCACTCGCAGCCCCCCTGGTCACGCGCCTGCGCACCTTGATGTCCCGGTATACCACGTCCCGTGAGTGCAAGTACTCCAGAGCCGAGACAATCTCCGCACCGTAAAACCGCGCCCGGTCCTCCGTGAAGACCCGCTCCCGGGACAGGTGGAAGAAGAGCTGCAGGGAGGGTGGGAGGAGGTCAGACGCAGCCCAAGGTGGGGGACTGAGTAGGAGCAGTGGTGAGAAGCGCTCACAGGAAGGAAGAAAGGAGCAGGGGTGAGGAGCGATGCAGCCAGCAGGTACCAGTGAGGACCTGGAGGACGGGACGAAGGGCAGGTGAAGGAGGGAGGGACAGCAGGATCGCGAGGAGAAACACAAGTCATGGGCAGTGACAAGAGACTGTGAGCGAGACCAAATCAAACGCGCGAACAGACGAGCCGGTCCATAAGTCCACCAGCATGCAGAGAGGGGATGAGGGACGAGTGGGGGACAGGGGACGGGGGACACTTATGTGTACAAGGAGGGAGGACACAGAAATCAGAGGGCTGGCAGACTTCAACCCTGTGTGCTTCCTTCAGAGCCTCTGAGCACACCCTTCCGCCCAGTCACCCGGCCACCGCCATGGCCTCGCTCATGCCATTCTGGACCCGTTTAGGGTCCTGAAAACAGCTCCCTCACTAGCTGTGTGAGCCTGGAAAGCCACTTAGCCTCCTGAGTCTCAGTTCCTCCAGCTACAGAACAGAGGTGATACCACCTGCTTTAAAAAGCAGGGCAGGAGGCTAGGCCTTGATTACATCCACCAAGCCTCCCTCCAGCCATTCCATCGAAGGCAGCCCCGCACCCGACAAAGACACGCAGGAAGCCAGGCCAGGACCGCAACTCACCTCCCCACCGTTGGCGTACTCCATCACGAAGCACAGGCGGTCGTGGGTCTGGAAGGCGTACTTCAGTGCCTGCGGAAGGAGGGCAGGACGGCACTGGGGTCAGATGCAGGGAAGTGGGGGCCCTGCCCAGATTCTGCACAGACAGTCCCACTTCCCCAGCCCAGCCAGGAGCCATGGGAGTCCAACAGACAGAGTCGACTCCCAGGCACAGCCGGGGAGAAACTGGAACTATGACTTCTCTTGTTTTATTTTTTCGTCTTTTTGAGATAGGGTCTTGCTATGCAGTTCAGGCTCGCCTTGAGCTCATTTTGTAGCTCAGACTAATCTCGAACTCGCAACGATCCTCCTGCCTCAGCCTCCCAAGTGCTGGGATTATAGGTGTGCACCACCACTCCCGGCCAGACTTCTCTTATTTTAACAATAAAATAGACTAAATATTATCCCTTGCATGTGCACACATGCAAACACACACACGTGCACATGTGATGTATGCTGTGGCTGACCAAGGCACTCAATGGTTCAGGAGCTGACTCCAAAGACAGGATAGACAAGCTGTCAGCCAATGAAGAGTAATTCAGTTCCCAAACGATGCTCTAGGAAGCCCTATAGAGGATTCTTGAAAGATCCCCTGAGGAACCCCATCACACTCTGGAGTACCTTGTACTATCTCTCAGGTACTTTGTTAGATCTCATTTGAATAAATGTTATGACTTAATCGGCTGCCTGAGCAGCAAGTGAACTAAAGAAATGGCACATATAGCTGGGCATGGTGATGCATGCCTGTAACCCCAGCAATCTGGGAGGCAGACGAAAAAGGGTCACAAGTTTGAGCCCAGGCTAGGCAACATAGTAAGTAAGTAAGCAAATAGATAAATAAATAAATGGGCTGAGGATGTAGCTCAGTGCAAGGCTCTGGGTTCAATCTCATTTTAAAAAAAGGCACATCAGCCACCCTCACTCTAGTCACTAAACTGATAGCCGCAGGCCCTGACGGAGACTATGGCCCCAAAGATACCTCTGAAGAGGCATCCACTTGGCCTAGCTTGACAGGAGGCACAACAATGGCACATTATGGAATTTAAAATCAACTCAAAACAAAAATGTCCCCCCACTTGGATGGGCTAAGCACCCCTCACTCACAGAGACAGCAAGCACACTCTCCTGCGGCCCTGTCGGGCAATCTCTCTGGTCCCTTAAGGTGCCTATGTGCAGCCACTGTCTACAAAGGCGATACCACCCCAGTGCTTGGTTCAGGCAACGCGGGGAGGCCAGTTCCCGACCCACACGAGGCCGCGCTCTGGAGCAGCAGGCTTGGGCTCTTTCCCTGAACTCCTTCGCTTCTGGCCTGAAGCGAAGGCCTCCCTCCTGCTTGAGAAGGTGGGTACGACTCACAGTGAGGAAAGGGTGCCTGGTGTTCTGGAGGACCCGACTCTCCGTGACCGTATGAGCAACTTCATCCTGCGGATAGAGCGTGCGAGTGAATGGCCGGGAGCAGCACCACGTCTACCTGCCTCACCACCAGTTTTAACAAAGACAGAGGAACAAGAACTTGGGGAAATGCACTTCCATTATAAAAGCAGAAAGAGTGACGGGAGTATGAGAGGGCCATCTGCAAGCTCTAACTAAATAATGGACTCAGATAAGGGTAATCAGTGGCTTGCTTCAAACCACAAGGTGAAAAGTCAGTGTGGACTGTACAGTGGGAGGATGAGGGCTGCGCCACCAAAACCCAGGCCGACTGTAACGTCCTGCTACAATCTGGATCTTGAACGTCCCCCAAAGGCTCATGTGTGGACGGCCTGGTCCCTAGCCCATGGTGCTACGGATGGGTGATGGAACTTCTAGGAAGTACGGTCCAGTAGCAGCAAGTTGGGTCACTGGGAATGTGCCTTTGCAGGGGCACTGGGGCCCCCACCATGATGTACTGTGCCAGCACAGGTCCAAAGCAAAGGAGCCGAGCCATCATGGCTTGGAATCTCTGAAGCTGCAAGTCAAAATAAACCTTTTGTCCTGACAAGTTGTTTATCTCTGTTTATTTTATCACAATGATGCAAAGCTGTCTAGCACACAGCCCTACAGAGGGAACAAGGAGACATCATGAGACCCCTGAGATGCCACAGAGGATGTGGGAGTGAACAGCTAGAAAGCGTTCTTGCCCACAGAAGGAACTGGATCTGATCAGGGCTGTGGAGCAAAGCAGCACTTCTCAGGGTGTGGTCCTCACTAAGACTGCATCAGCAAGGCCTGGGAACTTGTACAGATGCAAATTCTCAGGCCCCACTCCAGCTCCACTGAGCAGAAACCTGGGGGTGAGGGTGGAGGTGGGGGACAGCCCTGCCTCACAAGCCCGAGTAACTTGAACACAAGCCTAACACCAGGTCTGACCAAGAGCAGGTCCACCAGGAGCGCTGCCAAACCTCAGCCACTTGCAGCTCTCTGCACGCTGCCTCTCCTTTGGGCATGTCTAGCCCTGGGGCGTGTCTAGAGTCATTTTTTATTATCACAACTGGCAGTGCTGCTAAACCCCTCAGGATGGAAAGGACAGCCCCCGCAAAGGGTAAAGAATGGTGTGGTCCAGAATATCAGTGTCCTGAGGCTCACAAGCCTTGCTTAGACCAATCACAGCAGGAACTAAGTTTCTTTTGTTGGATATGCTCACAGCACCACATATTTTTTAAATTTTTTTTTTTTAAATTTTAAAATATTTTTTAAAATCTTGAAAAATAAAAAAATAAAAATCTTCATCCATTATGGCATATTTTTAAAAGTTTGTATAGGTGAAAAGATACACTATTTAAAATATGCCTTAAAATACTCCAGAACCCAGCCAGGCATGGTGGTGCACGCCTGTAATCCCAGCACTCAGAAGGCTGAGGCAGGAGGATTGTTGCAAGTTCAAGGCCAGCCTGGGCTACAAAGTGAGCTCAAGGCCAGCCTGAACTGCATAGCGAGACCCTGTCTCAAAAAAAAAACAACTCAGAACCAATAAAGGGAGGGGAAGGCAGAGCTAATGAAACAGGACTTAATTGCTTTATCAGAATCATTGTTGGGCTGGGGATATAGCTCAGCGGCACAAGGTCCTGAGTTCAATTCCCGGTATTAAAAAAAAAACTCAGAATCATTGCTACATGGCAGTCCATTATATTTTTCTGCTTAAAAATTTGTGTATGTTTAAAATTTGCTACTGCAAAATCTGTTAAATAAGGCAAAAAAGATACAGTTCCACTTATGACTCGGCTTCCAACAGCCTCCCCAGGTCTTTTATCATGGCCAGGGGCCTCCCTCAGCCCTTGACAGCACCTACTGGGTGAGGCCCCTGCATTCTCCACAGCCAGAGGTGCAGTGTGGGACTCGAAGGCGGGCCAGTTCTTCCTGGGCTCAGCTCCCCTTCTCTGACGGGGGACTTAGGGAAAGGGTCCTAGAGGGCCAACAGGGTAAAGAAGGCTATAGCAGCAGAAGGCCGTGGTGACACTGCTCCGGCCCTGCAAGAGCTCCCAAGTATTGGTATGAGCGTACTAGACTGTGGGCCCTGTTAAATCACGAGGGCAGGGGAGTAGCTCAGCGGCAAAGCACGTGACTCTCACGTACACAGCCCTGGGTTCCACGCCCAGCACCACACAAATAAACGAGCCAGGACGTCACTGCTTTGGACGTCACTAGGCCCTAGCGGACCAGACCAAACCAAAATGGAGTCACTCATGCTAAATGCCACATAATCCCAAGGAAACAAAGAGATAGCTAGGCCCCAAGACGGAGCAGTTTTTCCTGAAAACAGGAAAGTCCAGTCTACCTGAGTGTGATAAGGAAGTCTCCTTTGCCTTAACTGCTACAAAGGGTAACAACCTAAAGTAACCTGGTGTTAACCAATCAGACTTTTTCCCTCGTTGCCACCTTACAAAACCCACTGCCTCCCACTGTCCAGTGGCAGCCTTCATTCTGTTGCATAGAATGCAGTCTGCCCCAACTCATGAATCACAAATGAAAGCCAATTACATCTAAAACTAAATTTGTTGTCATTTTGTCTTCTGACAGCCACAAAGAAGCAAGCGCACGGCCGTCCTCAGAGCACTCGCCTTGGCAATGATGACTTCCTTCCGCAGGATCTTCATGGCGTAGTAGCGCCCAGTGGCCTTTTCCCGCACTAGGATGACTTTGCCAAAGGTGCCCTTGCCGAGCAGTTTGAGATAATCAAAGTCATTCATGGTCTGTGGGGCGGAGAGAGAGCAGGGTCAGTCAGTGCTGGCACTTGGCCCATGGGAGGAAGTTTTAACAAAGAAAAAGGAAAACCAAAAGACGCTGTTGCCCTGGCAGAGGCTCGAGTGGGAGGGAGCTTTGGGCAGCAACTGTCCCGAGCGGCCTGCAGGCCCAGGCTCTGCCAGGCACAGGCCTCGGATATAGGGCCTTGGAGCTCTCGATGTGGGAGAGCTGGGAGTTCTACCCAGGTGTCCCCTCGCCCCATGGCACAGAGCAGCCCCTGTGACGACCACCCAGTCCCGCAGGGCACGGTGCAGTTTCCTGCACACTTTAGATGGAACCGAGGGAGACAGGGCCAGCACAGCCACAGCCCCTGGCCACCTGCCCTGGCACTTACCACTTTGGCCCGTGCCTTGCTGACTGCCACTTCCATCTCCTCGGCCGTGGAAGAGTCACTAGGGGAGCCACACTTGTACTCCATGGGATCCTCACCAGGGACGCGCTGCTTGAGGCTGTTGGCGACCATCTGGATGGCCCGCATCCACTCCTCCCTGTGTGGGGACATACTTGAGTCCCTGGCCTCAGGGCTGGGAGGGCTGAAGGTCACCTCCCAGAGGAGCCACAGCCCCGCCCCCTCCAATGGGACAGCAGACACCAAACCCTTCTGGGGGCTTTAGGGAGAAATGCCTGAGCCAGGCAGAGCTGATGGGGCCTGAATGACAACGCACAGGCCTCTGGCATGGGGTGAGGGAAATGGACCAAGATAGGGATCATCCATCTCCTAGGAGAGGCCTGACACGAGGGCCCTTTGAAGCCAGGCAGCACGGAAACGATCAAAAGGGAGGCTGCTTTTGTCAGAACCTCCTGACAGAGCCACCACTGTAAGCCTTGAATGAGGGAGGGCCAGGGCTCCCCTGCACTTCTCCAGAACAAACAGCCAGTTCAAGTTTACAAGTCCACGGCCGGCTCAAGTTTACAAGTCACTGATGTCTGGTAAAGGAAAACCAAGAGTGAAAGAAAGCATCTTTAATGGTTGACACACTGTGTCAACTTGAGAAGTCTAGAAGTTTAATTAAGTGACTTAGGACCGGCCATGGTCCCCTGGTAAACATCCTGCTTTGTAAACACCCTGAGCCTGTGCAAGAGGAAGGCACGGAGATGGTGTGAGCTACACCCATCCACCCACCCGTGGGCAGGTAGCCTGCACACTATATAAGGGAGGAAAAGAGGCTTGCTCTCCCTTTTGCTCTTGTCGCTTTTGCTGTCTTCTGCTGCCCCAAACTGTTGCACTCTACCTCGCCACCCCACCTTGGAGCAGCTGAGCATGGACTGAAACCTCCACAAACTGAGCTAAATAAACCTTGCCTTCCTTAACTTTGGGTATCAGGTATTTTGTCCCCACAACAAGAGAAAGGTAACCAAGACCACATCCAAGAGCCAAAACAGCTGAGACTCTTTAAGGCCAGAGCTGGCCCACAGGGCTCCCTAGAAGGGGCAGAACCTCTGCCAGAGGCACAAGGCCTGTGCACACTCAGGCAGTACAGTGTTTCGAGCTGCTGGGAAAGAATTTTTCTCAATACTTGCAAACTTTCTTTCTTTCTAGTAAGTGCAAATGACCAGAGACAAAAAAGAACAAAAGATGAGGCTGAATGACTGCCTAATAGACAAAAAAGAACAAGATATTAGGCTGAATGACTGCCCCACTTTGCATCTATCCTATAGCAATCTCAGGCAGCTCAACCCAGTGCATCGGAGTGCCTGTGACCGTGCCTGCATCTAAAAAAACATGACTAGTGGGCCGGGGATACAGCTCAGCAGCACAAGCACCTGCCTGGGAAGCACAAGGTCCTGAGTTCAAGTCCCGGTACCAAAAAAAAAAAAAAAAGAAAGAGAAGAAAAGAAAAAAACCATGACTAGTGGGAAAAAGAGAACGTGTTCACTAAGAATGAGACAATTCAAAGAGCGCGTAAGCAGGCAACCTCCCAAATCCTGGTGATTGAAATAAGCCGCAGCGAGCGTGGCCAGCTCTGTCAGGAGCCAAGAACCAAGAGCAGGCCGGGCCCTTCACATGCATCTTCCAGAACCACCCTCGCAGCAAGTGCCGTGGTTCCAGTGCCGGTACTGAGGGCCCTGCCATGGGCCCCAGGGCCCAAGTGGAGAGACACTGCCCACCAGCCTGAGCCTGGCCCACCCTGGCCCACCCTGGCTCCAGGAGCCCTCTGTCCGGGATGGCTTCCCTGGGGCAGCAGGGCCTCTTCTATTCCCCAGTTCTAAGCACAGCTTTCCATGTTTTCACACTGGGAACAGTCGCACCTTGAGCTGGCGTCTGTCATCATTTAGCTGGGCACTGCTATTCCCTGGTATTATATAAAAGCACGCCGTGCAGACGGTGGCACCTCAGACGCACTGGGACACGCCAGCCACGCTTCACACAGGGTGCCTGGGGGACGGCGAGATCCCACAGGAGGCATCTGCGCAGTTGGACTGCACCCCAGCGAGCGGCAGGTCTGGGTGAGGACTTGGCGGACTCAGGACAGCTCACACGGAAATAGGAAGGCGAAGAATGGTGTGGAGTTCTGTACCACCAGAGGCAGAAAATAGACTTTCTGCTCACACCTGCTCACATAAACACCAATATCCTGCAAGGGCAGTCAGGACTTCGGAGCCCTGACCCCCTGCAGGGAGGGGAACTGGGAGCCAGAGGACCGAGGGGGCTTCCACAACGCACACAAAGCACTCACTCTTACTAGCCACCCACTCCTGCCTCCTTACAAAGGAGGAAACTGAGACACAGATTACAAAAACAAATGCAGGAAGAAGCACAGTCGGTGCCCCAAGACTCAGAGCCAGACTCACAAAAGGCCAGTGGCCTCCCCGAGGGCAGGGATGTTGCTGCTCAGCTCTGTGGCCAGCTGAACCAATGGAGGACGGAGCTCAGAGGGGCCCAGGGAGGCACCAGCGGTCCTGCCTTCCCACACGGGCCTCCCTCACACACTGCCCCATCCTGCTTGGTAAGAGAGATGCACGAATCTCACATCGCGCCTCACAGCACAGATGCACCCCGCACTGACTACGCCCATCCCCACCACGCAGATGCTCGGGGCCTCAGCCCACATGTCGGCCCTACAGGGCAGGGATTTGCATCTGCTTTGAATGTCGTGCACTCCCAGTACTATTCGGGGCTCTGAAAGTGTTTAGGTAGTGACCAAGCCAGACAGCCCGGGCCTATGCACAGCGAGGCCAGTTCATGCTCAGGCAGAGTGGGGTTGGGCTCCTTCCTCCCTGACCAGTGTTTCTCAACTGGTGTTAACCCGCACCCCCTTGGAATAAACTGCAGCCTAAAACCCAATCCCTATATTAGTATTTCTGTTTTCCAAAAAAGTCAAGGGGAGGGTAGGAATACATCCCATGATTTGCTTTATCAGTCACAGCTGTCTTAGAAAGTTTAAAATGTCGATTTTCCTAGGCTGGTGGTGCATGCCTATAACCCCAGCGCTCGGGAGGCTGAGGCAGGTGGATTGCCGCAAGACCAAGGCCACCCTGGGCTACATAATGAGTTCAAGGCTAGTCTAAAACTACATAGTGAGACCCTACCTCGAAAAAACCCTAACTAACTAAACAAATAAAAACAAAGTGTTGACTCTGAGTGTTAAGGTGGAGGACTTGAAAAGAAAATCATAGATCTAAGGGAAATATGCAGTCTCACAGAGATTTTGAGACTATGGGGGGGCAGTGCAGGATCACTCCTTCCCCAGCTGGCTCCCCCGCTCCGGGCAGAAAGCTGACACCTCATGAAAGATCTGAAGGACACGGGAGGCCCAGCCCCAGCCCATCCACCTAGAGCCAAGGACACCATCCCAGATGCAGGAGGTGGGCCAGGGGTCACTTGGGCTGTCCTGCAGCCTGACCAGCCACAGGTCCATTCCAAATGGACCAAGGTTGAATGGTTACAGCACTCAGAATCCAGAGTAAAAGCAAGGGCCTCTGTCCAGGACATTCCTCAAGGGTTTGCAACATAATGTCTGGGGCAGAGGGGAGCCCCCACCCTAAGGGGACCCCCAGTCGGAAAGCCCTAGGGAAACCCACCGGCTTTCCAGCTGAAGGACCAGGAAAGAAGTATCAGCGGCGAATGGCCAGCTCCACAGCCACCACCTCATCTGGGTCTCAGGAACATGGCGAGGAGATGCTGTGGAGACTGAGGCCCACAGAGGTAGAGCCACTCGTGGAGTCACACAGGAAGACCAGGCAGAGCTGGAGCTCGCGCCCAGGTCCACTCTGCCCCTCCCTGTCCCCATACCACCTTTTCCCGTGCCAGTGGTCCGGAGGAGCTGTGATTCCTAGACAAGGCTCAAGTGGATAGAGTGAGGATACTCTCAAGAAGGCTCATGGAGCTGGGCATGGTGTTGAATACCTCTAATCCCAGCACTTGGGAGGCTGAGGCAGGAGGACTGCTGCAAGTTCAAGGCCAGCCTGAGCTACAAAGTGAGTTCAAGGCCAGCCTGAACTGTACAGTGAAACCCTATCTCAAAAAGACAAAAAAAAAATGAAGGTTCATGGAGCAAGGGACATCACCACATGGAACCCAGGGCCAAAGTAGAACACCGCCCTTCAGAGCTGTGACATGGACCACTTTCCACAGAGGACATCCCCCAGCAAACACGGCCACCGACACCTCCACCTACACGACAGTCACTGTTGTGCTCTGTATGAATTAATGCCTTTAATCCTCCCAACAGCCCAGGCAGCAGGTACTGTTAATGGGACATCTGCCTACATGCACAGCCAGCAAGCAGAAGACCAGGAACATAAACCCAGGTGTTCCTGTGTCTCCCAGGAGCTCTTCCCCTGCCAGGATACTCACAGCAGCCCTGTCGTCCCTCACCTGGGCTCTGGGGCCACAGAGAGACATTTGAGGGAGCTTTGTTTGCCCAAGCAACACCTGGCAGGGCACAGTCCAGCACACAATGCAGGCTGGGAGTCGGGAGCCAGGCCCGGGCCTCGGCCCCACGGAACACTGCTTTGTGGTCCTGAGCCGGGCCTCCGCCTCCCAGCCTCCATCTGCCTCCCACACAGGCCAGGGCTCGGTGATAAGAGCCCACACTGGAGCTGGTGGCCTGGGTGTGAACCCAGCTCTGTCCTTCCTAACGGCAACGCCGAGGTCCGACGGCTGGCACGTAAAGTGCTACAGTCCTTGGAGGGATTCACCCTGCCAGCCCGCCAGTATCTGCTCAGTGCCTTCTTTGAGTCAGGCCTTGTCCTGCACACTGGCGAGGCAGCAGAGAACATGTCTGAAAGGACAGCAGTGTCCCTTTTAAACTATGGTTTTGCTTTCCATAGTCTCACGTACCTGAAGTCAGTGGTGATCTAAAAATAGAGTGGGAAAATAAATAAATAAATAAATAAATATAAATAAAAATACTGAGTGGAAAATTCAAGAAACAATTGGTCAGTTTTGAGCTGCACGCCACTCTTAGTGTGATGAAACCTCGTGTCATCCTGCTCCGTCCTTGTCGGCTGCTAATCTCTTACTGTGCCTAATTTATAAGTCACA